GAGAGAGAGAGAGAGAGAGAGAGAGAGAGAAGCCAGCAGCGAGACGGAGAAAGAGACGACGAGCCGACGGCGACGACGTGTCACGAGGCAATTCGTTTTCTTCTAACTTGTCAGGCGAAAGGTGACTTGGGCCAGGCGACCTCTGGGCGTAATTACACGAAGGTCGAAGATTTAATGGCCTGGCCTACGCAATTGTTCGCCACGACGCAGCCTCTGCAAGAACTAAGAAACGTCCGCGGAGAGCCTGGAAGAGAGACACACGAGCGCTGGTGAACACGCGGTTCGTAGACTGTGTACGGTGTATACAGTCATCCTTTTTTTCTAGAATGCAAATCCTTCCGCGAGGAGCGTGAACGAGATCTCCAAGAGTCCAAGAGTCCAAGTGCCTCGGGGTCGAGTCGTACATTCTGGCGACATTGTTCTGCTCAGAGTTCTGCTCTTTCGGCTCAGCTTGCCCTGAGTTTCGATTCTGTTCAGCGTGGAATCTCGTCGCTACAGATTGCCTGCTTGTCGCGTTCGCGAGATTTCTCTTTGAAATTCTTGCTGTACGTTATATATCTGTCTATCGGTTACAATATTTTTCTCCTTTTTAATCGATTCATTTCATTCGCTGTTTCACTCGTGTTGAAAATCGTCAATTTTGCGATTCTGACTTCTTGTTTCGGCGATCGCCAGTTAAATATCAGACGACGATCGCAATCGCGAGATGTAATTTTAGGTTAGGACGACTCGTAAAAGCCGTGTCGTTTGATTCTCGATTATTCGATCGTGCGATGCCTAATACCAGCGTCGTGACGCTCGGCTGGTTATTAACATATTAGAAAGCGCGGCAAGGGGGGCATTTCGTATTTTTTCACGTCCCAAAAAAAGGCATCTTGCGTCAGAATCGTTGATCAGCGTTTGATACATTATCTGTTTCATTATGTGCATGGCATTTATTACTTATTGTGCTGCATATGCCCAGTGAAAGTCGCGTCTGTTCGCGAAGCACGTTCAGTTTCGCAAATTTCAACGTTGCTTTCTTTCGTATTATCGAGAGAGCGAGAGCGAGAGCGAGAGAGAACGTCTCTCGACGGCATCGCCGATAATTAACCACGATAAAAATCGCGCGGCCAACGCGAGAGTTTCCTCTTATTGTTGCCGTTTCCTTGCGAATCGAGTTTCAACTTTCCAGAGCGAGAAACACTCGTCCTCGTGGAAACGCGTTTGTTCCGGCAATTTCCGGCCGCTGGTACATATTTTAGCAAAATAATCAGCTCCACTTTGCGAACGAAGATCGTCGTCGGTCAGGAAATGCGCGAGATACAAGAGTGGAGTGGCGGTGGTAAAAGAGAGGCCTTTGTCCACGGGACGGAAGAGAGGTGGACGAGGTGGCCCGTGCGAGGATCGTCGTAAACGTCTTCATCCGTGAGATATGAGACGCCGTGGGCGTCGACGTGCACGCGGGGGCTCGCGTTCGCCCGCGTTTTCACCTCCGTGAAAAGGCGCAGCAGCCAAGGTGAAGGCGAAGAGAGCAGAAGGAAGAAGAGGACGAGAAGAAAGACGTCAATCGTTGGAGCTGCTGCCCCGATCCGTCGATAAATTGGAATGGAATGCTCGTACGTTTTCTAATTATTCGTCGTCCGTTGTGACATTTCCTCCTCGGTTGATTGCTCCCGAAACGGCGGAAGAACGGTAATCGAAGCTGGCGAAGAGTCTCGTCGTAAGGGAGACACTTAAATGAACAGATAAATCAACGACAGGTTAAAAACTCGGCGTTCGCTGTCCAAGCCTCGCCTTTCATCCCTCGCCAAACACGATCTTCGCTCGCACCCATAGAAAGTCGACCATTCTCCGCCGGCAATCGGCGATTCTTCCGTTTCGTCGAATCCTGTT